CTTGTTTCTCAGACCTGATCTTGTATTCTGTCTAAAGAGGTAGCACATTCTTCTGTGAAAGCGCTGGCTGCGGGGAATAATATGTCTCCCATATAGACCCAGGAGCCTGAGGTCTTGGCATCTGTTCCTAACATTTCAACAGGATCCAGATACCTACAGCAGCTTCTCCAACAATGAGGCCATACATCATCCGTCACTGCCAGAATCCTCCAAAGTAATGAACGAGTAATAATGGTTTATATGTTAAAGTGAAGTCTCAAAAGGTAGCTCATCCAGAGTCATTATTGTGCCACATAAGCAGATGAGTTTCCTCAAACGAGATCATTTTTGTCACCCCGAGGACAGCGGGGTGTTACTCTTTTCAGGTTGAATAAGTCATCCTCATTTGGCGCTAATGGGGCTCCGTATTACGGTGTTGCTTGCAAGAGGAACGGTGAATCCCATTTTCTTTTCATTTAAACTGAAAGCTTTTTCTTGCTCATTTGTTGTTATGCTCAAAGTAGAAATTTGATTCAAAAAAGTCATGCATTGTAGAAACTTCTTTTTTACAGCAAGCATTTCTGGAATCTTATGTGTAGTCATGAAATGAAAGGAAAATGATGCAGAAATTTTACAAACATAAAACCCGAAAAGTATGGAGCACATTTGAATTCGGCCCACTGCGCTACAAATTCTGCTGTTCTGTGAAGGCCTCAGGAGTTTGCTATGAAACATTAGTGAACAAACAACATCCTGAAGATCAAGGAAAACAGACAGATCAAAAGATAAAACTATGGAGAAATTTAAAGCAGGGCTAAGCGATAAAACAATATCTCAAGCTCTGAATATCTCGTTGGGCACTGCAGCTGCAGTTCCATACGGGGCATCATCCACATGAGCCAACATGTTTGGCAAGGGAAACCAATGAAAGTCTCCATTGGCAACTCTAGAGGAGCTGTAGAGATCCACAGTTCACATGTGAAGGACAATGAGAAAGCTGTTGTTGAAACAGACCCACTGTTCACCACTGGTTCACCAATGGACTGGTTTAGATAAAAGCATATTTATGAGTTTGAACGGCCTAGTTCAAGTCCAGACCTACACCCAATTTTAGATTCAGTGGCAAGACTTGAAAACACACATTTACAGAGATTCTCCATCCAAAACGACTGAGCTTGAAGCTGAATTGAAAAGATGAATTGGCAAAAATTACAGCAAAGTTAGCGTAGACCTTTTGCAAAGCTTTGACATTATTGTTTGGAATGTGCCACCATACAACAAACTTTCTGTAACCCACCAGTTTCCTCAGTTCATAAATGTTTCCTATTTCTTGGTAATGCAATGCTGTTTAGACGTAATTGGCATATTTATGAAGGTTCATAGCACATTTGACAGTATTTTTCCTGGACTTTGTGTTTGTCTCGCTGGTGATGCATTTGCACGTTGAAGGAAGGTGTGCTCTGACAGATACAGCTGAGGTGTTGCTTTTCTTGTAAAAAAGATGATAGCAGGATATGACTCTCCCCAGCTGGATGAGAAATTTGCAGAGGCACACAGATCTGTGTAACATCCACATAGCAGAACTCACCCAAACTACAGGGTCTGGGGTGAAAGCGCATTTCCAAGCACCGACACCAGAAATCCAGTACTCAGCGTCTTTTTTACTACACGCAGTATTTTGATGTTGAGATATTGACATTTCGAAAGAAAATCCCAGATGAGATTTGCTGCACAAGCAGGGCATCTGCTTGAGTGGTCAATGCACCTCAGCAGCTCCGATGTCCAATTCTGCACAGACACAGTCGAGCCTATCACTCATAAGTGCTGATGTTGCCTTCCTCACAGCAAAGCCACAGAGTCCCCAGAGGTAAGTATCGCTGCTAACTGTCATCCTTGTACTTTGATTACTGCGCTGGGAGGAGAGTGATGACCGTGGCTTCTTCCAGTCCTGCTCAGACTCAGGAAGCCTTATGAGATCACAGTCTTTCAGTTTGGTTTATCGTTTTGATTAGTAAAAAGTTTTCTACAAGGATACCCAACTGCTTGAGTCACTGAGTTTGTAGCAATCCCTCATCCTGAGCAAGGTTTTGGTGAGAGATCCCAAAGGACTTTTGATGTGAGCCTGTCCAAGAAACGATCTACAGCTCAGCGGTTAATCACAGGATCAACTGAACTTTCTATGGAAGAAATACAAAGTAACTGGCAGCAATACATCTTTCTAGTGGAGGGTGACAGCTAAACACAAACTCCCTGGATCAGGCATACCTTTTTTTGGAATAAAAGACCAAAAAGAAAAAGAAACTGAGGGAGAACAAAAAGCAAAAGGCAACAAAAATGACAAATAAAAGGAGAATCCTTTCGGAGCCAGCTAAGAAGAAATCTCAAAACAGACAATGTAAATCTCTGCCAAGAAATCCAGCACTGGAAGTAAACGGAGACATGACGCCGCAGAATTACAGTCACATTGATTTTCTTTTTAAAGAAAATGCTAAACATTATATCCTCATAAACATCCTGCACCCAATACGTTTCTCTTAACACACATTGAAAAATGAAAGAGTTCATTTAGGGTTCAAGTTGTTGAATCTTCCATAATCCTTTGCATTCATTAACAACCATTAAAAAGCCTTGAAGGGTTTTGCCTAAAAACTTTTCCTCATCTCACAAACCTCAGTTTGCCCTTGAACTACTTCTCCCTCCACCAAACCTGACGACTGATGTTCAGAGACATTTCTGAATGATTACCTAATAACACTTTTTCACCTATATATAACCCCTCTCTGCCTTCGGGGCATGAATTATTTTGAATCTGAGTGTGCAAGGTGGCTGTTTTTAACAGAGCAAGCTTTAAGAAGTCAGAGTGTTTTACTTTCATTGTCCCAATAACGTGGAATGTATCCATGCGAATTGTCAGTTAAAGAAATGATAAATATGTATATATATCTTCAGCTCGAGCAAATACTGAAAACATATAATTATTTAAATTGTGTTTTAAATTTTGAAAAGAACGTGAACAAATACCCTTGAGCAACAACTGCTGGGAAGTACTTAAGAAAAATGTCTTCAGGGACGGCGCATTAAGAAGTTTTTACCGCCGCGGTTGCTGGAGGGAAAGGCAAATTCAAAAATGTAAATGTGCTTCAGTGTACTATTTCATGTAAAGAGAGATTCTTCCCTTTGGGGGGCGATATAAGTGAGATTAAATAGCAGAATTAAGTAGCAGCAGAGTTATAGGAACATACTGGAATACCCTGTGTCCTTTTGCACTTGAGACTGAAGCAGCTCATACTGATGTATCATGATGATGCTTAGAGCTGCTGCTGGTTTGACGTGTGAATAACGGTGAGAAGAACGAGACAATGATGTTATGATGAATGTGTAATATGTTGTGCATAGCAGAATCTTTAAAGCAGCTGTAACTCAATTTATACCGACAAAGTAACATAAATGCTGTTTTCCTTTAAATAAATTTGCCTCGTATTTTAAGCTTACACTTGTTTATTAGTTTAGTTTGATCAAAATGTGAAGAAACTAACCCTTGACTTCCAATTTCTATGATCCTGAATGATATGGAACAGAGGCACATTTATTTTATTCACTCTTTAAAATAGAAACGGAAAGAGAACATATCACTGGAGATCTGTTTGGCTAAAGTTGCCCATGTCTGCTTCAAATCAATCCATCTATTGTCTATATTGATGCCGTGGGGTGATGCCTATCTGGAGCCGTCATTGGATTAAAAACATTGTAGACCATCAATAGATTGCCACTGCCAGTCTACTGCGGGGCAACACAGAGACAGACAATCATAAACATAAGCACACACACAACCTCAGACCTAAGGCTAGCCCAGAGCCAATGGATATAAAAGGCATATTTTCGGTCTGCGGGAGGAAGTCGGAGTACTGAGAGGATCCACTCATGCACAAAAAACATGCAAACCCCATTCAGAATGTCTCTGGCTGGGAATTAAACCTACGACCTTCCTGCTGCAAGGCAACAGAGCTAATAACTGTGGCAAGTTTTATACGACTGGAACTGAGACAAACCAGCCAGGATTGAGTTTATCTTGACACCGCAAAGAAGAATGGTGAGGGAGGAAGGCAATAAACAAACCCCACAGCTCACTGCTGCAGAACCTTGTGGCAAGGACTTACCAGGGGTCTCAGGAAAAAAAAATATCTAGATATATATATAAGAAAAATTAACAAAAAATGCCAAAAATAGTACCATTATATTGTACTATTGTGCAAGTTATAGGCTAGTGGGTTGTTTACTTTTGTCACACACCAATGTAAACATTTCAATTAGAAAAACACTGCTGGAACTTTAACTAAGCCAGGAACTTTGGTTAAACATAAGGTAGAGCTTTCCAGAACCTCTCTGTGTGGTTCTGGATTTAAAACAGATCTTGGATAAGTATCTGTACTTGGTGCTACATAAAGATCTGTGATACCGTAGGTCAGTTTCCCATACAAAGCTCTTGTGAACCTTGTTCAAGTATATGAAACTAATAACTCATGGTATCAGTAAATACAAATCTGGTGGCGTCCTTCAACAGGATAATGATTCAAAATATATGGCCAAATTAACGGGAACATTTTCCAGGTACACAAACTCACCCTTATTCCTGGACCACATCAGTCTTCAGAAATACCCAAGATCCTCTCTCTGTATTACGCAGTGCTATGTTGAAAAACACTGGCTTTTAATCTGTGTTAGCAGCAGGGGGAGATTGCTTCGTCACTGAATAAATGCAATTAGTATAAGATTATGTAAAGATCATTTTTACACGTCTTTAAAAAGAGGGTGCAAGTAAAGGTGGAGACTTCTACATGTGGTTAATTCTATGATCTGTAATAACATTATTAGCTGTAGCAGTGGCCTCAAGTGACTGTGCTCACACAACATGTCATGCCTGCCTTTCGGTGGGTGGGGATCTAAATGGCATGTGTGTGCTTGAAAAGTGACAGGGGCAGCTGGGGAATGAAACCCAGTAAGAAAGGATCTGGGACATGCAGATCACAGGGTCTGTAGTACAGCGCTCTGCCGCATCAGCTTGGTGAAGAAAAACTCAGCCAGGAATCAATGTGAGCGTTACGAGCAACCAGGCGGTACAGTGAAACTGCTGCTGACAACGTTCAAGAGCCCTGGAGATCAGTCAGCTGCAATTGTCCTTAGCAGACCTCTCATTGCTTCAGGAGTTGGTGATTGAGTTAATTGCATGCTGTTATAAGTGACGGAAACATTATCGCTACGAAGGTGATGGGTGGGAAGCAGTCCCGCAGCCTGTCCAGCTCAGAGTTGAACGAGGTGAGTGTGGGCCAAAGGAGGAAGGGTACAGTTAGAGACGACCAACCCAGCCTGTCCTGGGCAGCGGAGAGGATCCGAAAACAAACCAGCATACACTTTGGTTTCAGTACTCTAAGTTTAGCCATGCGGGGATTGGATGAAGCCCCCGCCGAGCTGTGGGAGCTCCAGGACCTTCAGAAGCTCAACTTGTCCATGAACTGTCTGTGCTCCTTGCCTCCTGCTCTGGGTTCTCTGGACAATCTGGTGATTCTCAACTTGTTGGGAAACAACCTGTCCAGCCTGCCCCCTGAGATCGGCCTGCTGAAGAAGCTCCGCGTGCTGTTTGCCTGTCGCAACCGCCTGAGCGAGGTCCCTGAGGAGCTGGGCTCCTGCACACGCCTGGAGGTGCTGAGCTTGGCCAACAACCAGATCTCCAGCCTCCCCAGCAGCTTGGCTGCCATGCATCATCTGACCAAACTCAACCTCAGTCACAACCGCATTGTTCACATCCCCACCTGCGTCTACAGCATGAAAGGACTGGTTTTCCTGCACTTGGCCTGCAACCGCTTGGAGACCATAGCGGATCAGATCCAGGACCTGGTTAACCTGAAGATCCTGATCGTGGAGGGAAACAGCATACACACTCTTCCAAAGACTTTGTGTTTCTTGGATTCATTAGAGCTTCTGAATGTGGACTTTAACGAGCTGCAAAATGTGCCTGATGAGATGTACCAGCTGAGCAGACTCAGGCGGCTGGCCTGCCACCCACTCGATAAAGGACTTCATATAATTCACAACCCGCTTCTCAAGCCTATCCATGAGGTGCTGCAAGGTGGACTCAGTGCCCTGTATAACTACCTCAAGCCCACTTAAACAAGCACCACTGTTTGTGTGTGTGTGTGTGTGTGTGTGTGTGTGTGTATGTGTGTGCTGTTTGATGATTCCTTGCACCCTGATGGCCATGCACCATTTGACCAAACTCAGTCTGATGTTTCTACAGCAATGGTCTCAAACTCCATGTGTCCTACAACTTTTAGATGTGTCTCTGCTTCAGCACTCCTGGCTCCAATGTTAGCTCATTAGCACAGCTCTGTGGAGGCTAGTGAAGCAGTTTAGTCATGTTATTTCAGTGTGTAGGACATCTATGCAGGACTCTGGCCCTCAAGGATTGCCGTTTGAGGTCACTGGTCTACAGCATGCTAGGCCTGGTCTTCTTTCACTTGGGAGCAGTGGCTTGCAATCATTTGCAAGCCATTGCTAACCAGATTCAGGGCCTGGTTAATCTGAACATTCTGATCATAGAGAGGAATATTACATGCACACATAAAGATTCTGTGTTTCTTGGAGCTTTCAGGGCTCCGTAATGCAGCAACTGAGCAGACTCAATGAGTTGGCTTGCTTTCTAATGGATATATGATGCTACAGTTGGTGTCTGAGCTGGAGCTTCAAGGTTGATCCTAACTGTGTCACAGTTTTGTTTTGTTTTTTTTTTAAAATTAGGGCTGGATTTAATAATTCCACATCCTTCTGAATATAAAATAGTTTTTGTGAAGCACAAGACTAATATTGAACACATCATATTTTTGATAAATTGCATGTGAGGAAAGGATTTGGTGTGGCGGTACAAAAACATGGACTGTGTTCATGAAGGAGTTTACCACTGTAATATAACTGTAAGATAAGGCAATGCAAGGTTAAAAAAGTGCTCTCTACAGTTACCTTAGCCCCAAATGAGGAACTATTGCCAAGTGCTTGCAAATTTGTGTATTCAAAGCATGATTATTATGCTATAAGCCTAATATTGTTTAAAATTGTCCACTTTATCTCTATGACTCTGTAAAAATATACTGAATTTTGCCTGAATAGCAGTATAGTTCTTCAAATTTGCATATCCAGTTTTGTTATTCAATGGGGTCGAGAGAAGCTGTTCAGCTGGCGTTAAAAATTCACAAGTCTGCATTTGTGCGCTGATTGCTCATCGGCTGATCCTGGTGTGGCAGTGTGAGTCTGACAGGGGTAAGTTTAACTACAGAGCAACTCTCCTCATTGTATTCAGGTCAGAGGGATCAGGTGTGTAAAGTCAGTGGAAAGAACAGCAGAGCAGGGCAGGGGTGTTGAAGATTCCTCAACAGATTAAAAAGAAACACACACACACACACACACACACACAACATGGAAACGATTAAATATTGTTCCATTCATCAGATCAAAGCATCAAAGGATGATCCGTGTTGCACCACCAAGTAGCTGACAATAAAGATAGGAATAAAATGTTTTCCAAACGCAGTAAAGGTAGATTAAGGTTCACAAAAGTTTAATTAAGCTAAATTAATACGCTTTTGATGTTTGTTTGAATTAAATTGCCAGTTTGGAGAGGAAATATCAACACAGGAGTTGAGTTAAACATTTGAAAATTACGTTCAGCTCTGAATGTAAACTTCATGGTCATTTCTGTTAAGCATTAAGCTACATTAATTATGTTATAAGTAGGTTATGTGTTTGTTAAAGAGGACATCTAATGCAAAATTCTCTAAAACTGAATGTCCACTGCATTGTTTCTTCTAAGGTTTAGGAAAAGCTACTTTTTTTTCTTCTAAAACTACTCAATTTCTATGCAACTAAAATACATTTTTACATATTCAGGCTTTGCTACAGGTCAAATCAAATTGCCCATTCTGAAAAAGCCCAACCAAAACCAGCAGGTGCAGTGTTCACATTCCAAAATGCGTGACTTGTTTTATGCTGCGTTGTACGTCTAATCTCTGAAAACATGAAGGATTTTACTCCTGTGAAAGCAATCTGTTCTTAAAAAATGTTTAGAAAATTAAACATTTCTAAATTTGTTGAGGAAAAACATGCTTTGACATAATGTAAAGCTTATTACGAGTTGAAGAAATAGTTTTTAGTTGTTTTTTTTTTTTTTGCTTTGAGTTATCTCAGTCTAAAGACAAAATTAGTTGTAACTGCTCAGTGGTGATATGAAAATATATGCATTTCAACCCCCAAAATCCCTTTTTCTCATTTAACTGTGTGTTTGCAAAAAATTGGAAAGGTTTTAGATTATAAAATTATCTTTTGAAGAATTTCAATTTAGTGTCAAATTATAGTGGTTAAGCCCCACGATGACAGAAATCCACTTTGGAAGTGGTTCCTCTCTGGCTTAGCATTAGTTTGAAAGTTTAGAGAGGACTACTTTCTCACTTCAAACTTAATGTCTGGGGTTCAAACTTGTCAATTCAACTTCAAAATCTTGAGTAACAGAGTTATGTTCACGTGCCTCTATTATGATACGTCTATGTGTGATATTAAATTAGTCATTTTAAGTGGAAATAAATGGGATTTTTAAATTAAATTTTCCAAAAACATTACAAAAAGTATGTTCTTTCTTTGATATTGTTTATATGTATTACTTGAATTTCTCAGTGTTCATCTGAAACATCCAGAAATGTTAGATAAGCCAACATCGCTCACAGGTTGCCATATTTGTTGACACATGTTAACCTAAATGACTTTAAATACTAAATTCTGCCTTATTATTCTAAAATGAAATACAGTAAAGTCAGTCAGTGAAGTGATTAAAGATTTTTGGATTTAACGGAAATCAACAAAATCCTGATAATCAGCAACCTGATGCTGTACTTTTCTACGCATTTTCAGAATATGGATTGCATATTGTAGTAATCTGGTTGAACTGTGTGTTTTCAGCATTAAAAATTGCACAAATGCTTCTGGTTTGAAAATATGTTAATCTAAAAATGTCGACCTGTTGTGCTATTAAAAATGTTTTTAATTTCATTTCATTAATGATTATGGGAATGTGAATCATGTGAGTGTGATTTCAGGTTCCTCCGGTAAAGCAGCCGTTTTGATGTAATGAGTAAGAAAAAGTGTCCTCATTAGTACTAATCAGCAGTATCTGTTGCAGCTCAGCCATTTTATCTGTGATCGAGATTTATAAGCCTATGTTTCTACAACTAGTCCTAAAACTACATTTCTAATTTCATTTGAAGTGAGACCGAGGAACGGCAGAAAAGCGACCTCTCTTGGTAAATTATTGTTACTGCATCACAGGGCCGCATGGACGCACACACACAGTCCATGCATTCATGATAGATGACGCCCTCTTGAATAAGTCTTTGTCCCAGATAGTGATCATGGGATATGCTGTCAAAGAAAGCACATATAGAAGTGTTGCATCGGCGTGAGCCGAATGACCCGATTTCAGGTTCTGTGTGGGGCTCTAAGGGAACCTGGAGAGAAAAGTCTGATAAACATATATTCCGAGAAATAAGATATATATAAACATGACTATGGCTGTAAAATCTTAATCTCTAGATATTTATATGCATATTTTGTGTTAAAGCCCATTGTTAGCCATGAATAAGTCACCCAGTTATTATTTTGAAAATAAACAATAAATAATGTCAGGAAAAACTATGGGAATGTTGAAAAAACAAAAAACTAAATAAAAGCACAGATAAAGCATTTGTGCAGAAAAATATTAAAAATTAAACAGAGATGTAATATTGTATGTTTCAAAGTTTCTAACACTTGAACATTTTTGTGTTAAATTACGTTGTGAATATAAACTACAAGGTGTTGTATTATGATTTGTTGTAATAAATGAATACACAGTTATGCATACTTGCGAGATTGAAGATACAAAATACTTTTTCTATGTTTTGTACAAATAATCATAAATAATATTATTGTATGACTGATATAATAATAAAATCTGAAAAGTGTGGCATGCATTTGTATTTAAGCAATTTGACTCAATTTGCTATAATAACAGCTTCACGTTTTTCGGGATGTACACTGGTTTTGAATATATATCATCTTTGAATATTACATGGAGAGTGTCTGTGAACATGAATTTTCAGTTAGATATACACATTAATATAATTTACACAAACATTCCATTGCAGGTCTGTTTGCATCTTTACGTTTGTTCCTGGAAGGTAAACCTCCAAAACCACCTTCAGGTCCTTTGCCATCTCTAACAGTTTTTTTTTCCAGAGTTGTGCTGCATTTGCTTCCTTACATGTTTCCATTAGCTTTAGTTTTGCTTTCCCTGCTAACGAAAAGTGTCCCCATATCATGATGCTGCCACTACCATGTTTTGCTGTAGGTTTGCAGTTATGGCATACACTGTCACTTTCAGATTGTGAAATGAACTGAACTCTGTGAACTCTGTGAGATGATCAAAGCTTTAGATATTGTTTTGTAACCTAACAAAGTTTTCCTCCTGATCTGTCTCTGGTGTGTTCTTGGGCTTCATGATGCTCATTGTTCAGAAATTTGTTCACACAAACCTCTGAGGCCTTCACAGCAAAGCTGGACTACAACTAAAGTTTACACTCAGTTTACTGAATTTCATTTAAAGGTATCAAAGTCAGGAGGGATGGATAAAAACTGCATGTCAAACTATTCAGATTTCTATTTGAGCAGGTTTTAAAAGGTTTTTATCAGTTCCCTTCTACTTGGCCATCATTGCATACCGTCTCAATAAAATACATTAAAGCAAATATAAAAATTGTGAAAAGTCTCAATTTTAGGTTTAGGTTTATTTATAAGTGAATAAATAAACCTTAATTGTGATGGAACGGGAAACAGAAAGGGACTTTTCTGAGAAATTATCGCTGTAAATGATAGAAAATACAGAAATGTTGCTTATTTTTACAAACACATTAGCTAATTTAGTGCACTATACAGCCTTGCTCCTCTTCACTTTCCAAATCCTGGCTACTACTATAGCCATAACAATTTTCCCTTTTGAGATTAACTCCCTTCTTAATCCACTTCCTGGATCCACTTATGGAAAGTCTCTCTTGTGCATTTTCTAATAAAGTACACAACACACTATGTCAGGAAAGCATTGCGCTCCTTTACAGTTTACCCGTCTGCCTGTGGGCATTACAGCACGTGAACCTGATGGTCAGCTGGGATCAACAATGGGCTTTATCGGATTTACTGATCCTATTTAATAGTTACGCGCTTCACCAATTCCATTTATAGTAGGACACTGTTTAATTTCTAAGCGAGTAGCGAGCGCCGACTGGCTCCTGTGCAGTTCATTCAAAGCTATTTTGCATTCTTAATCCAAAGCTTAGAAAACAGTTTAGCCTCGGTGGCAGCCAGTGATTTCTTAAAATGAGGGACAGCTAATCAATCTCATTTTGAGCCTCCGACAATCAAGGCAGGGGATAATCACAATGGAATTAAACGCCAAACCCCCTGCTGTAAGGCAGCCACATGAGGAGAGACTTAATAAGTTTTTTCTTTGGAGTGCAGTTAAATTTCTGTGACTTATTCAGTCACACTGACGCTCCTTACACAGGGTGAGAGGGTTTCTTATTGACAAAGAATCAGACTCCCAGTTATATCAATTACAATTTGTTATTTAGTTAATCATTTTCATAACAAACTAATGGAAACAGTCGCCACAGGAAGAAACATGAAGGAGTAAAAAGTAATTTGCCGCAGACTAACAGGCTCCTCCGCTGTTGGTGGTTACTGTTGCGGCATGAAACAAAGTTCAGACATTTGTGTTTGCAGACTGCAGTTATGACAAACGTAATTTGGCAAATATGTTCATGCTAAGTTTTTTTTTATTTTTGAAAGAAGCTTTTCAGGATTCCAGTTCTGTTTTTCATGTTACTTACACGTTTTTAAGCCATTAGTACTTTTTCTTTTCAATATGTTTTTATTAAGGTGTGCTGTGTGAACATAAATCTATATAAAGCCAACATCATCAAAGTATTTGTATGAGCTGTAAACATTCCTATTTTGATGTCTAATTTGATAATCATGTGCATTAGTACTGAGGAAATAATACTTAATTCTTCAAAAGTGAATATCCTGCAAAAGACACATATGAATCATAAGACTGATTCCCCTAATCAGAAGTCATTCAGCTCTTTTGAGACCTTAAAATGATCCATTTATTTGTTTCAGGTGTCGAATCTGAAAGTTGCAGGACAGTTGCACCTGGAAAGCAATGCTGTTTTGCTATATGTACGCAACATAAATTTGCTAGCGTGGATGTAGGTCAGGGTTTGCTTTGGGTCGTGGGGTCAGGCTTTGCCTCAGTTCTTTTTGTGTCTTATTTCCAGGTTATCCCAGATGGTGGATAGATGGACTGGCTGCAATGATATGGTAGAGGTTCAGTCCAGTTGTGGTGACGAAGGGGTTTAGCCAAAAATCAGTGCTCTTTATTTACCACTTTGACACCTGAACCATGAGCAAAACAATGCAATCATGTGTACATGAAATGAAATTTGGCTGGGTTCAGTCTTGAAGAGGATCTGATATTTTCTTCCACCTGGTGGAGCTCAGAGTAAAGTCATTGCTCGTTGTGAGCTCCGGTTTTATGACGAAATACTTTATTATGTCTAAGTTATTATTTGTGTTTCTTATACTCTAGATTAAGTCAAAGAAATCTCAAGCTGCATTGAAATCCCATTTGTTTTAAGATCTTTTCAAACCACACATTAGCCACATTAGCACTGAAACCCAAAGGCCTTGAAAGACCATTGAAAGGTCTATAGGAATATTTCTCAAGACCGTTATAACGACAACACCTGGTCCCTTTAAAGTATAGTACATAAAGGAATGAAAGGTGGCTTAAGATTTTCCATAGCACCATAGATCATAGAAAAAGCTGAAAGGGAGATGCATATGGTGAATTAGAAAATTATTTTTCACATTATGTCACCTCACCACTACAAACTTCATTTTCTTAGAGTGGATATTTTTTACCTATGGATTTGTATTCTCCCCTACTGAGTCAGTTCTCTGCAGGACCATCTTTTACTCATATGCAGAGCTGCAGGTACTTTGGTGATATTTCTCTTCCAGCATTCCATATCTAGATCATAAAATCTTTGCATAGAGTTATTTGCAAAGAGCTTAAGCTCAGTCAAATTGGAGTGACAGGATCATCACCTGTCATGTCTTCTCCCAGATTTTAAGTTTGAACTTTGACTGGGTATTTCTGAATGTGAATATTCCCAGACCTAATCCATGCAGAGCTGTACGTTTGTAGTTTTAGTCTTGTTAGCAGGCAAATTATTTTGCAGTCCTGAAAAGGTTTTCTGATCTTTAGATCCATCTTCTCAGAAACTACGGCCTACTTCTTTGTCTGTCATGAAAAGAGCATCTTCAAAACTGATGGTGTGTCATAGTAAAGTGCTTGTTTCCTGCTACATCTGGTGAGTCGCATGTAGTCTACGAAGCAAATGTTGGTCATTTCAATCGGAGTATCTTGTTCCACATGTTTTATTTCAAACTGCAGACAAGACTTCTTATGGCTCTGTTTAATCAACGCTTAAAACGTTGAAGTCACTCTTTAATAAAGGCCGGATTTTTGGAGCTCATGACAAATAGTTATCCTGCCGACAGATTCTTCCTTCTGAGTTGTAGATCTGCGCAGCTCCTCCAGAGCTACTGTGGGGCTCTCGGCTGTTTCTCTGACTAATGCTCACCTTGTCTGGCCTGTCAGTTAATAGGGAAGGCGATGAACTGGTAGGTTTGCCTTTGTGCTGTACTCAATCCACTTTCAGATGTTCAAGCACTGAAGAAAACTCAATGAGAAGTTCAAAGCTGGGCATGATGATGCCTGCTGTTTACTCATGTTCTCTAACAAACTTCAGAGGCCTTTACAGAACTGAGGTACTACACTTGGACTATATTTGCTAATCAAGCTACCTGAAGAGAACCTGA